TCTTAGCATGTTCTAAGTAGGTGCTTTAGACCACTGAGCCATCTCACCAGCCCTTTTTATAAGTTGTTTTTTTTTTTTGCTCTAAATGCCCTAAGGGGTGGTTTGGCTGGCTGGAGTGTTGTGGGAATCGAACTACAGCAACCTGAGGCTGACAGCTTTGTGGAAGCAGCCACTTAAACAACTGAGCTAAGGCCAGGCCCCCTGTACAAAGATATTTTTAAGATACCCTATAAACTACCAAGATCATCAATAGTAGAGACTAGTAGGTTAGACACTCAAAATTAGGTTATCAACTCAAACATGCAGATTAGGGAAAAATGTCTGAGGACACCAAAAACCACTGAGCATGAGGGAACAACCATGTTTATATATTACTGATGTAAAGATAACATTACACACATTTTTGAAGAGCAATATGGTGGGTGTTGAGGAAAAATTTCTTTATGTAGCCCAGGTTAGCCTCAAACTCAGGGCAATTCTCCTGCCTCAGCATGTCTGTCTTAATTTCGTCCTAACTACAAAAAAAAATCTGTTTTTCCTTTGACACAATCTTCCAGCTAGAAATACTGTAGAGCCCACAGATGCAGTCACAAATATCTGTATAACTAGGGAAGGCTAACGGAAGTGTCTTCCCGTGATGCAACGCTACGCAGGTGTTACACGGCTCCACTGTTTATGCACTGCATGGAAAGCTCTCAAGGGTGTAGCACAGCAGGAACAGCCAGACTCAGAGCAAGACAGTGTTAACAGCCGCCCTTTTGGACAATTAATTTACTGGTTTTGTTTTTTTTTTGCAGTCCTGGGGATTGAACCTTCCTACTGCTACTTTTTCTTTTGAGACAGGGTCTTGTTAAATCACTAAGTTGCCAAGGCTGGGCTCCAACTCATGATCCTCCTGCCTCAGCCTCCCTGAGCGCTGAGATTACCGGTCAGGATCACTATGCTTGGTTTGGTTCAATTATTTTTTATTTCTTAGAGGAATACTGATTTTAAGTAAACAAACCAAGATAAACTCTAGCTATCCATTATTGTTTGGCCTACAAATTAGCAAAAGCTGTTGAAACAAGATACAATGTTCTCATACTTGTTATGTGTTTCCACTTTTAAAAAATTTGGGGGCTGGTGAGATGGCTCAGTGGTCTAAGGCACCTACTTAGAACAAGCTAAGCCAAGCAAGGCACAGGGACCTCGGTTCAATCCCCAGCACCACATGCCAGCCCGCCTGCCCCCTGGTGGGCTGAGCTGGCCACACACA